AAGAAATAAAAGTCATCTAAATTGGAAAGGAAGAAGACTACCTCTATTTGCAGATTGCATGATCTTATATCCCAAAACTGCTAGTGTTCTTAAAAAAAAAGTTGTTAGTGCTAATAAATGAAATTGGCAAAGTTGAAGAAATTAACAAAATTAACACACAAAAAGCAGTTGTATTTCCACACACTAGCAATGATTGATCTGAAACGGAGATAAAAAAAACGATTCCATTTATAATAGTATTTAAAAGAACAAAACACTTAGGAATATATGCAAACAATTAGGTGCAAGTCTTATACATTGAAAACTATAAAAGTTGCTAAAAGAAATTAAGGAAGATCTAAATAAATGAAAATGCATCCTGTGTGCATGGACTAAAAGGCTTAACATTGTTAAAATAACAATGCTACCCAAAGGATTATACAGATTCTATGCAATACCTATCACATTCCCAATGGTGTTTTTTGCAGAAGTGGAAAAACCTATCCTAAAATTCATAGGGAATTGCAAGGTACCTAAAATAGATAAAACAATCTTGAGAAAAAACTAAGTTGGAAGACTCACATTTCCTGATTTCAAAACTTACTAGAAAGCTACAGTAATCAAAATCATGTGATACAGACATAAGGATAGACATATAGAGCAATGGAATAGAATTGAGAGCCTAGAAATAAATGTTCACAATGACTGATATGAATGAGTAGTTGATGCTTGACATGGATGCGAAGACCATTCAATGGGTAAAGAACAGTCTCTTTAATAAAAGGTCTTGGGATAATGGATATCCACATGAATATCTTTTGAATGAATCTGGACTCTTACATTACACCATATACAAAAATTAACTCAAAATGGGTCAAAGATCTAAATTTAGGAATTATAAAACTCTTAGAAGAAACCATGGGGGCAAATCTGCATAATCTTAGATTTGACAATGGTTTCTTTCTTTTTTTTAGACAGAGTCTCTTGCTCTGTCACCCAGTCTGGAGTGCAGTGGCACAACCTTGATTCACTGCAACCTTGGCCTCCAGGGCTCAAGCGATCCTCCCACCTCAGCCTACTGAGTAGCTGGGACTACAGTTGCGTGCCATCATACCCACCTATTTTTGTCTTTTCTATAGAGATGGCTGGTTTCTACAAAAAAAGGCTGGTTTTGAACTTCAAACCAGGTTGGTCCTGAACTCCTGGGTTCAAGTGATCCACTTGCCTCAGCCTCCTAAAGTACAGGCATTACAGGTGTGAGCCACTGCGCCCAGCAGACAATGGTTTCTTAAACAACATATCACAGGTAACATAAGAAAAAAACAGATAAATTGGACTTCATTAAAATTAAAACTTCTGTGCAGCAAAGGACACTATCAAGAAAGTGAAAAGCTAATTTACAGAGTGGGAGAAAATATTTGCAAATCATTTATCTATTAAGGGTCTCATATTCATAATATCTAAATAAATTTTCCAACTCAGTAACAAAAAAAGTGCAACCGAATTTAAAAAATGGGCAAAGAACAGACATTTCTCCAAAGACATACAAAAGGTCAATAAGCACATGAAAAGATGTTCAACATCACCAATCATTAGGGAAATTTAAGTGAAAACCACAAGTTACCATTTCACACCTATTGGGATGGCTATAATTAAAACCAAAGAAAATTGAAATCCTTGTGCATTGCTAGTGGGAATGTAAAATGGTGCAGCTGCTTCAGAAAACAGTTTGGTCATTCCTCAAAAAGTTAAATATGGAATTACTATATGACTCAGCAATTTCACTCCCTTGAAACATAGGGATTCAAACAGATATGTGTTTACCAATGTTCATAACAGCACTATTCACAGTAGCAGAAAGGTGGAAACAACCCAAGTGTCTATCAACAGATGAATGGATAAACAAAATATGGTATATCTGCCACAAAAAGGAATAAAGTACTATAACACATGCTGTAGCACGGATAAACCTTGAAATATTATGCTAACTGAAATAAACTACAAAGTAGATTGCAGGTTACCAGGGGCTGGGGATGGAGGTGAGAGGTGAAACCAGCTGGGCTTCTGGTTTGGGTAGGGACTTGGAGAACTTTTCTGTCTTACTAGAGGATTGTAAATGCACCAATCAGCGCTCTGTATCTAGCTAGAGGATTGTAAAAGCACCAATCAGCATTCTGTAAAAATGGACCAATCAGCAGGACATGAGTGGGGCCAAATAAGGAAATAAAAGCTGGCCTCCCGAGCCAGCAGCGGCAACCTGCTCGTATCCCCTTCCACGCTATGGAAGCTTTGTTCTTTTGCTATTCATAATAAGTCTTGCTGCTGCTCACTCCTTGGGTCTGCACCACCTCTAAGAGCTGTAACACTCACCGCCAGGGTCTGCAACTTCATTCCTGAAGTCAGCCAGACCACGAACCCACTGGGAGGAACAAACAACTCTGGACACGCCACTTTGTGAGCTGTAACAGTCACCGTGAGGTCTGTGGCTTCATTCTTGAAGTCAGCAAGACCAAGAACCCACCAGAAGGAATACATTCCGGACACAGAGGGACAGAGTGTTATTGCTTAATGAATACAGTTTCTGTCTGGGGTGTTGAAAAATTTTAAAAAGAGAGAATAGTGATGGTTCCACAACATTGTAAAGATAATTAATGTCACTGAATTGTATGCTTAACATGGTTAAAATGGCAAAATTTTAAATACATATTTTACCCACGTTATCTTTAGAGAAAGTGAACATAAACTAAAGGTGGATTATGAGGTGAGGGTGAGTAGGTGTGGCTCATCAGAGGGGAAGGAAGAGAAAAGTCACTTATTTAGGCTGTGTTCTTAGCCAAAACTTCAAAACATTTTAAACATGACCATGCAACACTGCTATGAATTGAATTGTTGCCCCCTTCCCCCAACTTCATATATGGAAGCCCTAACTCCCAATGTGACTGTATTTGGAGATAGGTCCTTAAAGAAGTAATTAAGGTTAAATGAGGTTATAAAGGTGAGGACCTAATCTGATAGGATTAGTGTATTTCTTCTTATAAGAACTGACACCAGAGAGCTTGCTCCTCGCTCTCCCTAAAAAATCCCACCAGGTGAGGACAAGAGAGAAGGTGGCTGTCAGTAAGCCAGGAAGAGTGCCCACAGCCCTCACCAGAAGCTAACCTTGCCAGACCTTGATCAGGGACTTTTAGCCTTTAGACTGAAAAAATGTATTTCTATTGTTTAAGTCCCATAGTCTATAGTATTTTGTTATGGCAGTCCCAATAGATGAATACAAACATGGAAGTATTTGCAACACAAATTTATCTATCAACTGTTCTCTCACAGAAAGCAATTTCCTCTGCTGATTGAAATCCTACCCATCCTTCAAACTCAAACTCAAATGCCATCTCCTCCAGGAGGCTTTCCCCGATTGCTCAGCTAAAACTAATTTTTGTGTCCTTTGACTTCAGGGTATTTTCCCTGGAAGATTCTTAGTTTGGGTCATATGATGGGAGTTCATCAATGCTGATTCCTGGGCTGTCATCTCATTCTATATGTTCTCTCCAAGTCAATGACTCACGTCTTTCTATCACTTTTTCTCTGAACTCCAGAACAACAGAGCTGATTCAGCACCTCTGTCGAGGTAACTGAAAGCACATGAAGCTTAATTCAGATGCTCCTTGACTTACGATGAGGTTAGGTCCCAATAAACGCACTGTAAATGGAAAGTGGGCTTAATACCTGGATAAGCCCATTATAAAGTGGAAAAATCATTAAGTAGAACCATTGTAAGTTCAGATTTGCCTCGACTTACGATAGGGTTACCTCCCAGTAAACCCATCCTAAAGTCAAAAAGTCTAAGTCGGGGACTATCTGTATGTCCAAAATAGATTGTTCCTCTGAAACTGTTCCACATATTCCTCCAAATTGTGGTCCATCTTTGGTGTCTTCGATTTTAGTGGACAGTACGTCCATCCATCAGCACTGTTTCAAGCCAGACACTGACTAGATCAGGATAACATTCTTTTTACCCTTACCTCACATATCCATCCTCTCAGGAAGTACCATTGCTTTCACTTTGATCCATGGTCTCCTTTATGGTCCAAGCTACTTTCATCTCAGCCCTGGACCACCCCCAACAGTCTTGTTTTCCTTGTTTCCACTCTTGCCCCACTCTAATCTGTTCTCAGAGTGGTAACAGCTTCATCCCTGCCTAAAACTTGTCTGTGGCCCTGCAGCATCTGGCCCCTGACTACCACTCCAGCCTCATCCCCCATCAGTTTAACAAATATTAATACATCATTTGTTGAATGCCTCCAGCCATTGCCTACATTATTAGTCTCCTCTGCCTGGGAGGCATTCCTCTCTTTACCTGGTTAGTTTCTACTCATTCTTTAAAGGTCTGCTCAAATGTGGGCTCATTTAATGCTGCACTTAAATGAGCCTTTCCAGACCTCTCCCTCTCCCCTCCCATTATAGCTAGTCACAGGTCCCACTATGTTTAGTTCCCATGGCACCACCCTAGCCTCAGTTAGAGCTTAGGCACAACTGTCATTTAGCAGTTAACAAGGAGATTACTTCAAAGACATTCATCACTGTTTAACAGTGTGTCCTCAGTCCCTGGAAGGGTGTCCAACACACACTGGGTGCTTAATAAAAGTCTGTTGTATGAACGATTAAGAGATGGAATCCCAGCAATGCTACTTCCCAGCCATTTGACTTGTTAAAGTCACTTAATATTCTTGATCTTCAGTTTCCCAATTCTTAAAGCAGGGTTATGTAATTTTTTCTAGGGAAGTAATTTCTGTAATTTGCTGGGCACTGGGTGGGCCCACAGCTCACTCTTGGATAGAAGAGCGTTCCCACGCTTTTAGCCCAGCCCTAGAAGCCATAGGTTGCTACATCATCCTGCGGAAGACTTCCTGGAGAGGTGGCGCTTAGTCGGAGTCTGAGGCAGGAAGGCCTAGGCACGGGGCACCACCTGCACGGATGCTCAGAGGCTGGGGCGCTCAGGGGCGAACGCGGCGGGCGGGGAGGCCCACCTTGCAGGCCCTGCAGGCGGAAGGTGTGGTGCTCCACCGGCAGGCCTGCCGCGCTGTAGGGCCCATACCGCAAGATGACCACTGCGTTCTTGGGCATCGCCAGGCCTCGGCCGCCGCAGCCAAGGCTAAGGAGAAACACACGCTGCTAAGCAACCTCTCTTCCGGCCCTGGCGGGTGGGCGTGGCTACGCGCGGGGCGGGGCCGGAGTGGCGCTAGGGGATCCTCCCCGCCCCAAGCTGCTCACGTGACCCTCAGCGCCTGGTCCGCAAACGGGCGCGTTCGACCTGCTGTGGCAAGTGTTAGTGATAAATAACAGCAGCAGCCAGGCACAGTAAGTTCGTGTCAGGCAGCGTGCTAAGCACTTTCCCTGCGTTGTCTGGTTGAATCAGTTTACCATCCCTCGTCAGTATTTTATGTTTTCTGTTTACAAAACCGAGGTTCAGGGAGGGCAAGTTGTGGTCCCAAGAGTGACAGCGGTGTAGTATGGATTGGAAACCGTTGCATTTCTTCTATTTTCTTGCCTGTTTTTGATTGATTGGGAGTATTTGTTCATCATTCCTCTTCCCCTACCTCTTTTCCCCCTTCCCGTTCTGTCACCAGTGAGGCAATTTGGTGGGGCCAAAACTGTGAATTCATCCAATTCCCTTTTAGTTGCTCAGCTCTGCTGATTGGAATTTGGACATAAAAGACATCCACTACTTCTAGGCATGGCTCCTTAAAAGTCTCCTCCACACCTGCTGTCGCCTTCTTATCGGTAGCCAGGTATGGGATCCCAGGGAGGACCGGAGGTTCCTGGGGAGACAGACCCAAAACGTGGGAGGAACCTGGACCACTGAGTAGCTGAGCCGAATAGAGCCCCACCCATCTACATTTGTTGGTGACCAAGGCAAGAAGGAAACATTTATTCCATAACCACTGAGATTTTGGGGGTTGTTTATTACAGCAATTAGCCCAACCTAACAATCGCAATGCCCTTGCAATTACAGCACTTCTTTATTTTCTAAATATTCAATTGTAGTTGATATTTTTACCCTCCTTTTGAATAGTAAAGGATTTAAAAAACCCTTTCTCACTAATTCTCCCAACGTACGCTACTGTGTATTTTAATTCTCTCCACGTGTACAGTATGTTCTATGATACATATTTCTTTGATGAGAATTGGTTTATACACGATTGGTAAATAGAGGAATTATATCAGTAGAAGTTTGACATTATTATGGGTCATAAATAATTTCCCCCAACACTTAAGAGTTTTGCATCATCGGACAAGAACTACTGAATTCACCAACACAGCTGAACCCAGCAGACTATGGAGGAAGGCAGGACTGTACATGATGTCATTATTCATCCTCTTGATATACTGATTTGTTTGCTTTGGACAGACACTCAATAGTGGGGTTGCTGAATCAAATGGTAGTTCTATTTTTTGTTTTTTGAGAAATCTCCATACTGTTTTCTATAATGGCTGTACAATTTGCATTCCCACCCACCAAGAAATATGAGTTCCCTTTTCTCTGCATCCTCACCAGCATCTGTTATTTTTTATCTTTTTAATAATAGCCATTCTAATTAGGGTAAGATGATATTTCATTGTGGTTTTGATTTGTATTTCCCTAACGATTAGTGATGATGATTAGTGATGTTGAGCATTTTTTGTGTGTGTACCGGTTGGCCATTTGTGTGTCTTCTTTTGAGAAAAGTCTATTCATGTCCTTTGCCTACTTTTTAAATGGGATTATTATTATTATTTTTTAACTATTGAGTTGTTTGAGTTTCTTATATATTCTGGATAATAATCCCTTATCAGATGAATAGTTTGCAAACATTTTTTCCCATACGACAGGTTCTGTCTTCACTCTGATGATTGCTTTCCTTGTAGTGCAGAAGCTTTTTAGTTTAATATAGTCTCATTCATATATTTTTGTTTTTGTTCCCTGTGCTTTTGAGGTCTTAGCCATATCTTTGCCTAGACCAATGTCCTAAAGTGTTTTCTCTATGTTTTCTTCTAGTAGATTTATAGTTTTGAGTCTTACATTTAAGCCTTTAATCCCGTCTTGAGTTGGTTTTTGTATATAGTGAGAGATAGGAGTTCAGTTTCATTCTTCTGGATAAGGATATCCAGTTTTCCTAACACCCTTTATTGAAGAAGATGTCTTTTTCCTAATGTGTGTTCTTAATGCCTTTGTTGAAAATCAGTTTGGCTGTAAATATGTGGATTTATTTCTGAGTTATCTATTCTGTTCCATTGGCTTGTGTGTCTGTTTTTCTGTCAATACCATGCTGTTTTTGTTACTATAGCTCTGTAATATATTTGAAGTTAGGTAAAGTAATGCCTCCTGTTTTGTTCTTTTTGATCAAATTGCTTTGGCTATTTGGGCTCCTTTTTGGTTCCATAGGAATTTTAGTATTATTTTTTCTAATTCTAGGAAAGATGCTGATATTTTGATAGGAATAGTATTGAATCTGCAGATTTCTTGGGGTATTATGACCATTTTAACAATGTTAATTATTCTGATCCGTGAGCATAAGATGTTTTTCCATTGTTTGTGTCATCTTCGATTTCTTTCTTACATATTTTGTAGTTTTCCTTGTACAGGTCTTTCATTTCCTTGGTTAAATTTATTCCTCGGTAGTTTGGTTTCTCATAGCTATTTTAAGCGGGATTGCCTTTTCCATTTCTTTCTCAGATAGTTCATTAATGTTATATAGAAATGCTACTGATTTCTGTGGGTTGCTTTTGTATCCTACAACTTTACTGAATTCATTTATCAGATCTGAGAGGTTTTTTGGATAAGTCTTTGGATTTTTCTAGGTGTAAAATCACGTCATTTGCAAAGAGCAGCAATTTGACTTCTTCTTTTCCAAGTTTGAAGCCTTTTATTTTTCTGTTATCTAATTGTTCTGGCTACAACTTCCAGTATTATGGTGAAAGGTGAAAGTGGACATCCTTGTCTTGTTCCAGTTCTAAGAAGAAAGGCTTTCAACTTTTCCCCATTCAGTATGATGTTAGCTGTGGATTTGTCATATATGGGCTTTATTATTTTGAGGTATGTTCCTTCTACACCTAGTTTGTTGAGGGATGTTGAATTTTGTCAAATGCTTTATTTGCATCTATTGAGATGATCATGTGGTTTTTGTCCTTTATTCAGTTGATGTGATGTATCATGTTTATTGATTTGCATGTTTGAACCATCCTTGCAACCCTGGGATAAATCCCGCTTGATCATGGTGTACTATCATTTTAATGTGTTGTTGGATTTGATTTGCTAGGATTATGTTGAGGATTTTTGCATTGATTTTTATCAGGGATATTGGCCAGTAGTTTTCTCTTTTGGGTGTGTGTCCTTGTCTGGTTTTGGTATTAGGGTAATGCTTGCCTTGTGGCATGAGTTAGGAGGAATTTCTGCCTCTTCAATTTTTGGGAATAGTTGGAATAATTGGTATTGGTTCTTCTTTGTAATTTTGGTAGAGTTTGGCAGCGAAGCCTTCCAGTCCTTGGCTTTTCTTTGTTGGGAGACTTGATTACAGATTCAATCTCATTACAAGTTATTGGTTTGTTCAGGTCTTCTGTTGCTTCCTGATTGAACCTTGGTTGTGTGTGTCCATGAATTTATTCATTTCCTCTAGGTTTTCCAGCTTGTTAGCATATGGTTGTTCATAATAGTCTCTGATGATCTTTTGTATTTCTGTGGTATTAGTTGTAATGTCTCCTTTTTTGTTTCTGATTTTATTTGGGCCTTCTCTCTTCTTTTCTTGGTTAGTATAGCTAGCAGTTTATCAGTTTTGTTTATCTTTTTGAAAAACCAGCTTTTCATGTTGTTGACCTTTTGTATTGTTTTTACATCTCTATTTCATTTAATTCTGCCTTGATCTTTATTAGTTCTTTCCTTTTATTAATTTTGGATTTGGTTTGTTCTTGCTTTTCTAGTTCCTTGAGGTGTACTATTAGATTGCTTATTTGAAACCTTTCTACTGTTTTTAAAAATGTAGACACTTGTTACTATAATACTATAAATTTGCCTCTCAGTACTACTTTTGCTGTATTCTATATTTTGGTATGTTTTGTCTTGATTTGCACTTGTTTCAAGAATTTTTTATTTCCTCCTTGATTTCTTCATTGACCCAATGGTCATTCAGGAGCGGGTTGTTTAATTTCTATGTATTTATACGGTTTTCAAAGTTTCTCTTCTAGTTGATGTCTAGTTTTATGCTACTGTGGTCCGAGAGGATACTTGATATGATTTCAATTTTAAAGTTTTTTTTTGAGATTTGTTTTGTGTTTTAACATATAGTCTGTCTTGGAGAATGTTTCATGTGCTAATGAGAATGATGTATATATTCTGTAGCTGTTGAGTGAAATGTTCTGTAAATGTTAGGTCCATTTGGTCTAAAGTGCAGTTTAAATCCAATTTTTTTTTTGTATACTGAGTGTGGGGGACTTCAGCAACCCACTATTACTATACTGGAGTCTTCTCTCCCTTTAGATCTGATAATATTTGCTTTATATATCTGGGTGCTGCAGTGTTGAGTGCATATATATTTACAATTGTTATATCTTCTTGCTAAATTGATGCATTTATCATTATTTTATGACCTCCTTTGTCTCTTTTTATTGTTTTTGGCTTAAAGTCTGTTTTATCTGCTATAAGTATGCTACTTCTGCTCACTTTTTGTTTCTGTTGCATGGAATATCTTTTCTATCCCTTTACTTTCAGTCCACGTGTATCTTTATAAGTGAGTTGAGTTTCTTTTAGGTAATATGTAGTTAGTCATTTAAAAAATTCATTCAGCTAGTTTATATCTTTTAGCAGGAAGATATATGTAGGAAGTTTAATATGTTTAGATTCAAGGTTATTGTTGATATGTAAGGGCTTATTTTTTCATTCTATTAATTGATTTCTGGTTGTTTTGTATATTCTTTTTTCCTTTCTCTCTTATTGTTTATCATTGTGGTTTGGTGGTTTTCCATAGTAGTAACATTTGAGTCCTTTTTTTCCCTTATTTGTGTGTTTGCTCTGCTAGTGGATTTTATACTTTCATGTGTTTTCATCATGACGGTAGATATCATTCTTTTGTTTTCAAGTATAGGGCTCCCATAAGCATTTCTTGTAGGGCATGTCTACTGGTGATAAATTCCCTCAGCTTTTGTTTGTCCTTCAT